AGCAAACATGAAGATTTGTGGAAAAACCGATCTCCTCAGGTTAAGTTTATGTCTTAACATGCATCCATTTCTGCATGGGACTTTAACAAATTCCAGAAAATGTCTTTCTGGAATTTGTTTGGAAGCTTGATATCAAGTTCAAGTTTCCAAAATGGAAAATGTGGAAGAAGAAGAGAAGCAGTTCTGTGCTCCCGTCCGTTTTGACGGTCAGGGCGTTTTTTGTTTTTTTTCATGATGCAAGAGGATTATTTCAGAGTCACAGCGAGGGATTAATCTATTAAAGGTCGGATACTCTGATCCTGAATCTGATCCCAGCTCAGAATCGTGTCAACTGGAGCTAACAAAACAACATCCGACAACAGAACTACGTCATGTCGCTCCTCGTTGCTTCGTTAGGTCCTTTAAAACCGACAGAACGGAGAAAAGGAAATCCTGCAGAGGTTTGTGTCATCATGCGAGGACCACTGTGCTCTGTATTTGTTTGTCCCTGTTCTCCTCTTCCTCTCCTTTCTTTCTCCCATCCCTTCTTTTCCTAAGTTTGAGGACAAAAAGGCTTCAGTCCACAAAGACACTGAGAGCTTGAAGGCCGAACAAGGAGCCTGTTGAGGAGGTGAGGACAGCAAGAGGCTCCAAGCTTTACAGGCCGTGGTGGGGGGCATTCTGAGAGCTCACTGAGGGGAAAAGTAAAAAAAAAAAAAAAAAAGGACCATGGTGCCATCAGTTTTGTTTTATTATTATTGTAGATTAATTGAAGCTGCAGCGAGTCTAGATTATTCTCTTGATGACGGAGGCAGGTCTTGTTTTCAGTGGCAGATGTCGAAACTTCACCAAACCCATAGGAAACAAACCTGATGGATTTGTCTGCTGGAACATTTAGGACCATCAGTGCATCTGTCTGTTCAGATGGGTGGCATTTGGAGAAATCAAAAAAAGAACATTTTCATTTTTAGCAGAGTAAATATCAGATCATTTGAAACTTTGACTCATGATCAGATTTACAAACACCTTCAGGAGAACCAAAGTTTTTTTTTTCTTTTTCTGCTTGTCCTTCCACCCTTTATGTGAATGGAGGAAGTGATGTGTCCATTCATTCCCACTGGGAAGGTGATTATCCACAGGGATGGAAATCAGCAGGCTGAGCTGCCAAAATTCCCACCACAAAGAAACAGAGAGACAGGGAGCTGTTTTTCCTCTTAAAGTCTCTGAGCCATTGCCACCTGCCCAACGTGTTTGGGTTGAAACCATTCATTAAAGATCTAACACAGACAAACTGATCCATCCAACCATCACTTGGAGAGACGATCCTTGAAAGGGGTCACAACGTACGGTTGGTTTGGGCTAACGTAACAATGCTGTTTTTAATCACAGTTTTATCCTTTGATTTCCTAAAATTCCCAGTTATCGTGTTTCCTTTTCTTTATCTATTCATCTTTCCCTTCCCCTTTTCCCTTCATCTTTTACTGTAACTCCATGTTTTATTATCTCTGGGTGGTTCTCTCAAAGCTGTTATCTCTGACGTTTGTGCCTGTGATTTGCATCCAAAATCCAAACTCGAAGCAGTCAGACATTTATGTCCCACCGCTACATCTGGACTGTTTGCTTCTCTGTTTAAATTTAAATTTGTCGGCAGCACCAGTGAAAACCGGCCACAGCTGGTTTCGGTTTGAGAGGAGAGGACAGTGACTCTCATTATACTTCCAGCCTGCAGGACAGCAGACGATAAGGATCCCAATTGTTCAGCGGACGCTTTTCTAATGTGATTCTTCCTCCTCCTGGAGCTGTGATGGTCATTTGTTCCACAAGAGAAACTTTCAGTTCGGATGAGATCGGATGAGAACCGGATCCCTGAAAATGCATGTCTCTCTTTTTGGTTCGAAGGGCACAAACATTCCTCTCTACCGTGAATTGAACTGACACTTTGATACATTAAAACCTAAGTTGCTAGGGCGGTGTTGCAGTCGGCCTTAACCTGTTGTGTCCTGACGCTGGTTGCGTTTGCATTGCACAGAGTGCCACCTCCAAACATCGCAGCTATTGTCAACTTACTTTGCCACACGAGAGGACAACACTCAGCTCGTGTTGCTGTTTGTCATCATCGTACAACTTTGGCAGCAACTGGAAGGAAAAATGGCGACTGAATGGTACATACAGGCCAAAGCGCTGAAAAAGTACAGAAGACCACTGACCAGAAGACACAAGGGCAAGATGACATGGTAAGCTAATGTCGCCTCCTGCAAAGCCAACAAACCAATCAGAAATACGTCGCTCTAGTCTTGTTGGAACAGGATTTTGCTGGGATACGTGAAGCAACGAACATCCATCAAAGTAGCATCGTTCGTCTTTCAGACTTAGCTCAGAGACGCTTCTCAAATCCACGTCACACAAACAAACAATGCTACGAGCATCTCTCAGGAGTAAACGAACCGATCTGCCGTCCTCAAAGCAAATATTCAGCAGGAAGTGACAAACGGTTGAGTTCGTACGGAGTCACATTAATAGTAAGTAGTATTAAGTAGCACAAAATAAGCAGCTCTGATATCCAGTCCATTCTTAGCCTGATTATTCAGCTAAAAAGCAGCCAAAGACAATAATCATCCTTAGCACATTCCTATCCGATTAAAGCCTTCTGTAAATAGCACCACTGCACTGGGAGACGCTACATTGTGTCTTTACGTAAGAAGTATGTGTCGGTTCAAAAAAATGATCAGTTGAATTTATACTAAATTCCTGGGACATGGAGCCGCCACACACAGCATTGATTTCTCTTCTTCACATCGTGATGAAATAACATTCATTTCATCACAACAAAGGACAAAGAATTACCCAACACACCAGTCTGGTAAATGTCCCTCTGATACCAGCTGCTCGGTCAGCTCATTGTCATGGCTCAGACTTGTACCACCGCACCTTCTCATTTGTCCTGACAACAGTATTAATGTCTTCAATGTTGGCCCCTCTCGACGACCTCATAGGCCTTTCCTTACCTGCGTCATGTATTTTTTTTTTGTTGTTTAAAAAAAAAAATAGAACAAATTGACAAATTGTTTACCAAGAGTAAAAATCTCCTATGATATGAGGCCTTCAGAGTAAATAGTAAAGCTCTGTATCAGAAGATTCAGGCCAAGTTGGTTTGTAATTTTAGTTTTGAATCGTTGTAACAGAATCACTGTCGTTGTCAGCTGCTCCAGGAGTGTCCAGATGTTTGAGCTGGAAGTGGCTCTTCATCACCGGGATCATAGCAGCTACAGACAGCTCAGGTTTGTTTGCTTTACTCTGCTGCAGAGCGAGTGAAGAGACAACAGAAATGTTTTTGACTGCTGAGAAAGAACTAAAAGCAGACATTAGAAACTGAAGGTATTTTGAAGCAGTAGCGTTTTTAGTCTGTCCGACGGGCACAACGAGCCGACGCACACTGACCTGGGCGGTCGTCCAGCTGCAGACTCTTCACCTCCACATCTGGGCTGCTCAGGCCGCTCCGAGGCTCCGTCATGCTGCTGGTACTCGGAGAGATGACCGGAAAACCTGAAGAGGGGAAACAGTTGACCACTCTGACTGCAGCTCGCTCTATCTCTCTCTCCTTTTCTCTCTCTCTTTCTCTCTCTTTCTGTGCTTGATGACATCAGGGGATGATGAGCAGAGAGAAAGAGAGGGAGAGAGAGAAAGTTGTTATCCCTCCACATCCACTGAAACGGCAACAACAACCTTTACTTTCCTTCCTTTATGTGTCCTGCATACACATTCCTGTGCTTGCATTTAAGCTGGAACTGAACGGAATAGCAGTCAAAGTCCAAAGAGAAACTCTAAAAGACCTTCAGAAAATTTACAGCATTTTAATGGCTTCAATGTAAGACTGAGAGTAATAATGTTCAATTTTCACTTTTTGGAACAGTAATAATCACCTGCTGTGTTTAGCTTAGGGAACTGAATCCATCTGTTGTATCTGAGAGAGCCGTAGTGATTACTGTTTCTCATGCTGCAACACAGGAGACAGGAAGATAGCTGTAATAATAACTTTTTAAACGTAAAAAAAAAAAAAAAAAATCAACACTGTGCAGCATTTCATATTTCCGTTCTGCTGAGAAACGTCCCGAACATCTGCAGATGTTTGACCGTTTTCTGCCTCAGAGTGACATCTTCTTCTGTGGATTAAAACACAGCTGATGGGGGATTAGAGACTACGCTGAAAACTGAATTAAATGAGCGCTTACATAAGAGGATTAGCTGCAGCTCGCAAAGCACCGCTTCGCTTTGCTCCACTGACTGGAGCGAATACAGTGTTTGCTTTGCTTCGGAGCCTTTCAGCTTTAAAGGTTTCCACTCATTTGGCCCGGAGTTGGTTTAAAAATGGGGTTACAACATGTTACTAGGACGAGTAGGACGTCCTCCGTGATCTTAGAGTGTAGCAACACCAATCTGGGAAGGGTTGAAAGGATCGTTCCGGAACTGTCCGATGTCCATCGTGCTACAAAAAGACACATTGCTAAACAAATGGAGAATATTTAGGTCAGTTGCCAGGAGTCTAACAATGAGTGGGGCATCATAGCAAACAAGTTCAAGGTCAGAATGTGCAATGCTCAGAGACAAACAACCCAGGAGCTCCACCTCAGCCTCCAAAGGCTGCAGTTATCAATGATATTAAACGATTCGTTCATTACATTAAATTTAGGGGGAAAAAACCCCCAAAACAAACTGATCAGCTACAGATTGTTAGAAAAGTCTAAATGAAGTCTTCTCTATCAGAAGAATATGGCAGCAAGGTGTTTACAGAGGTTCTCATCAACTGTCTAACATGACACGTCTGTTATTATTCCCAACTTTTTACTTGATTTAGTGGTAGAAATTTATTTTTCTGTTCTGTCAGAGGATTTCTGAGTTGAAGAGATGTTTCGTCAAAAAAAAAAAAGTTCTGAATCTGTACATCCCTCATCGTTTTTGTTCCGTTTCCTGCTCTGATTAATGGACCAGAATGAAGTCTAGGGTTTGAAAACATTCATTATACAAATTCATAAATACTTTATTAACTGCAAAGGGAAATTAAATTTCATTAAACCAAATCAGTAGTTCATAGACTTATAATGTTTGTCTAAAGATGATTATAAGTTTTGAGGCATTAATTTTTTTTTTTGATAAGTCGTTAGCTGAAATACAAATATTTTCTTGATGCTAAATGAATCTTGTTCTGGAAAATCTGCTTGCTTTTCGAATCTGTGTTTGGCTTATTGTATTATAAAGTCCGGACCTGAAATTGACAGAGATGTAGACAGAGAGTTGTCAAGAAATTTTAAAGAACTGAAACAAACAAACAAACAAACAAACAAAACTGGACCAAAACTCTACAAATTAACAGATATATAAAATCCTCTAATTAAAGAGTAAGAAAAACATTTCAATAAAACTTGTGTCTGTCTGGGAACGACAACAACAACATCTGGAGAAACAAAAAGTAATTGAATGCCTAACAAGCAAAAACATCTCTAGAGTGTAAAAATAAAAAAACAGAAACAGTAAAGGTATATGTCAACTCTTTATTTCATCCATTCAGATTAGAAATAATAAAAGATAATATTTCACACGGTTTTGTAGAATGCCCACAATAGTCTTCTCTCATCACAGATTGGGTTCTGATTCGGCATCGCATGGTTTTTCTTCCCAAGTCAATTAACTGCAGCAAAGACAAGTTAAAAATACCTCTGTACAAATACGTCTGGATAGTTCATCTGATTCCACGTACAAAAATAAGTTCTAAGTGCTTCACACACTTTAATACTGTCTCTGCTTCGGCGTGTTCACAGCTCGGACGCCAACTCATGTCGTCTGTTCTGAAATCTCCACAAAACCTTCAGTCGAGTAGAAGAAGTAAAAGTTAAAACTGCTACCATCAGCAGCTGCTTTCGCCCAAAAGAAAGGAAAAAAAACAAAAAAAAACAAGATACCCTAGAGCATTATTTAGATTCGACACCATATCATCCATTTTTCTTTTTTTTACTTCTAACCCATCGTGAAAACGCTGTGGATGTGAATGAAAGCCAACCCCTGGATTTTAAGGATCCAGAGATTAAGCTGAGTTTTATCTAATGCAACAGACTGACGGAAGGAACAGAAAACGCTCGGTGTGAAAATACGAACACTGAAAAAAAAAAAAAAAGATCAGAAATGAAACAACACATTTCATCCAAATAAGGTGCCTGAGCGTTTTTTATGCGTGGTGGAAGCAAACCTGCTGAACAGAAGACAACACAAATGAAAGGCCTGCTTTTAAAAAGCTCCGACAAACTTGAACAAAACAGGGCAGATTTACTTTGTGTAGATTTTTTTTTTATAAATACAATTGTTACGCTCTGTCTAATACTCTTCTTATGTCACTTCAGCTCTTCCCTCTGCACAGGAGGTTGCCATGGATATGCCGGGCCTGTAACCATGGCAGCACCCACAGTGACAGATATCATTTACATCCTGTGGGTACTGATTGGTTGTGTTGGACGGAGTCAACAAAAGGTATGCAACAAAATAAACCTTGTATAAAAAAAATATTAGCAGATTCTAATCTTATTCTAATTACAGATGTTAAAAAGAAGAGTTTAGTACCCTATTGTCTTTATTTTCAGCATTTTTTCTCTTCTTTTTAATTTATTTTATTTGGCTTAAAAAGCATAGAACTGAAGCAGAGTTAAAGGTCTGAAGAAAAAGCTAAAGTTAACAACCCAAAAGCCATTGCAATTGCCACTAGAAGACACTCAGAAAGTACACAACTTAGTTAGAGATAAGCCACACTGCACACGCCTAGCCAGAAAACGCGAATCAGCCAATCAGAGGCAGTTTTCAGCATCACAAACCAAACCGTGGATGAGCAGATAATTTGGATTAAACGAGGAGCAGAAACGGGTGACAGATGAAAGAGTTTGCTTTGAGGGTTTTCAGCAGCAGCTAGCGATGTGGGATGAGACTGAACCGGTTTCCAACTAAAAGACGCTTAAATCTCCCTGTTTGATAACAACAGAACGCTGCATTCACACCAGTTCACTTTTGGTTTTAGGAAAGACACAATCAGATTTGACTTCTTGTCAGGTCGCAGTGTTTGGTGTCTCCCAGACTGAGTCAATCTGCGGGTGAGCAAAGCGGTGTGGCGCAAATGCAGCTCCACGGTTTAACTCAACGCCTGGAAGCAGCAGCTTTAGAAAACGCCGTATCCGTCAGTGTGGCGAGCCGCCACGGCGAACGCGGGGTAGCCCTCGTAAGTGGCGTAGGCAGTTAGGTCCTGACCCAGAGAAACGGCCTGCTTCAGCTGGGAGGCCACGCCCGATGACCCCGGGGTTGCCAGAGCGTAGCCTACAGGGAGACACAAAAGACAAGACACCTTCTTATTATCAAGCCCTGCTGGTTCACATGTGTGATCTGGTTCTGGTTACACGCTGAGGGTCAAGTGGGTTCTGTCTCTGCTTTAGCGAGAAGTTAGTTGGACTTGGGTACGGACCTTCACATACCTGGGAAGGCTACCGAGGCCACAGCGGCTGCAGTAGCACAGCCGGCGTCAGCAGCGCCCTCCGTCTGCAGGCCGAGCGTCTGCAAGGTGTGTTCAGCCGCGTGGATCTTCGCTTCTTCCACAGACGCACACAGTTTTGCAGGAGTGAAGGGGTGCCTGCAGAGAGGAGCACAAACACAGGTGATCCAAAAGTTGACAAAACTAACCTATTAAGTTTAGACTATAAGTAGAATTCTGCTCAGTTAGCGTTATTTTCTGTCCGCTTTTTAGCATTCTGCTTAGCACTTTTTAAAAAAAGAAAGTTCTTAGAACAAGTTTCAATTAAATTCAAATTCAGTCCAATCATATCTAATTTTCTAGTTCAATGGTAAATGATAAATGGTAAGACAGGGGTTCAAACCAATGAAATGAAATATGTTCGAACCAACAATTAGGGGATAAACTCCTGCCATCGTTGCCTCCATCGTTCCTCAAGTCTCCTCAAAGATCACAAAACACACGTAGACTAGAGAGACAAACTCCTACAGCCCAACAGCAATTCCCCAACAGTTAAACTCTGGTACACCATTTCTGGTCCAAAGCCCAGTCTCTATTTGACTTTGAAGAGTCTCGCCTTTCATCTTCTGGCCACTGTTTTCACAGGCAACAGTGACTCTCAAGCACGAAGAAGAAGCATTTAATGCCATGAACATTTACCTATTCAGATGACGGGGCTCTTCACCAGACATTTTCAGTTTAACCTGTTCACTTCCTGCCATTGGATCCATTTCATCTCCATTTATCAATCAACAGCAGTGCACTGCCTTTACTCACACGTTGGGGTACTGCGTGGCCAGAGCTGGGATGGTGATCTTGTAGAGAAATAGCTGCCGCTGGTCGGGACTGATGGCCGAGTGGAGCTGATAGACGGGCTGACCCCAGTTGTTCTTCTGACACAGCTCTTCCAGAACCTGACGGGAGCACAGACGGGTGGAGGTGTTCACCTTGGGAGAAGAACTTCCAAGTTCCACACAGTCATAGCTTTTATTTCACATCGCAGTTTGGAGGATAAGGGGTGCTCTTTTGTGAATGAAGAGCCACAGGTTTTCAGTTGAGGAATCATATAGGCATTAGAAACGTTTCTCTCCGTTCGCATATTCCTGAAAAGTGTCAGGAAAAATTTGGAATATGTCGTTGTGTTTGGGTGTGTCCCGTTACCTGAGTTGGTGGTTTGATGCCGGTGCCCTTCATGCTCATGGCAGCTGGGTTCATCGGTGTCAGCTCCATCCCCGGCAGCAGGTCGTACAGCTTTTCCTGGGCCTGCTTGTCCCCCTTCAGCCCGTAGGAGGCGCTACTTCCACCTCCTCGTCCCATGGCTCCGCCCCCGGCTGCGTAGGCCAAGTAGCCCCGCCCACCCAGCCCTCGTACCCCCGCCGCCCCTACAGGTACAGTCATGTAAATTTCTACAGGAGATCGGAGAGGCAGTAAATCAATCAAATCACTGGAAATCAGCAGGGAAGAACAATCACACAATTAATAAATCACAACGAAGACTGATAACAAAGATAACAGCTAAGTGATTTCTTATTTTTCTGGCGAATTTTTGACCAAACTTCAGCTGATTCAGAGGATCTCACATGATTCCTACCATAAAATATTCTGATTTTCAAACCACGTTCATTGCATTCACATGATTCAGGGAGATCCACCCCTCGGCGTCACACCTGCCACAGGCGCAACTCAAAGCCAATAAAGAGACGTGATTGAAGTCGCTGTTAAATCCAAATAATCTGTAACAGCAGCTGAGTTGCGATCGGACAGTCTGTGTCGAGGGGAGGAGCTTCAGCATCAGATTAAGCAGTTTCTGCTGTCAAATCAAGATCTGATAGCAGATCTGCCTCCATCATGGTCTCCGGTTCATGTGAACAGAGAGAGCGTCCTCACCTCTGACCGACGGCGTCCTGATCAGACCTCTTCCTCCCACGTGCGCTTTGGCTGCTGGGAAACGGAACTGACCCGGAATGGCGGCGTAGGCCTGGGGGGCATAAAACACGGGAGCACCAAGGTACGCCGTAGTGGGGTCGTACACCTGCGAGAAACAGAGGCGGAAGAGGAAGTTTGGCTCTTATGTTAAGATGTTTGTTGTCGGAGCTGACTTGTATTACTTTGGATTTTGTTATACTTGGTTTACTTTATATTTTTAGGTTCTTTGCACCCAGAAACACAATTTATTTTGCTTTTTGTTTGAGTGCTTGTGCTGCCCCTGATAAATCGGCGCCCTCTACTGCTCTGGAAAACTCAGGTAAAAACAAAAGCGTAGCTAAAAATGTTTTCCTGTTCTGAATGTTTTAGTTCCTGGGTTTGGTGCTACCATCACTGGTGCAAACTCTTCTGTCACATTGAGTTAAACTGGCCACTCTATGAAGTTGTTTGACGTCCTATGACCCTTACACTTTATTTGACGGGGTGTGCATAACACTGACTTGACACTGTCATAAACATGACATAACATCTGTCATGAACATGAAGGAGTCTTTATGAATGTCTATGACTGTTGTCATGAAGTGTGATTCGGTAAATAATGACATTTTTATTGGAAAGTTGCCCTAAAAGTTGCTTTAAAAGTCCATTAGAAGTGCTAACTTTGCATTAAAGTGTTATATATAAAATAATGCAAAGTTAGCACTTCTAATGGACTTTTAAAGCAACTTTTAGGGCAACTTTCCAATAAAAATGTCATTATTTACCGAATCACACTTCATGACAACAGTCATAGACATTCATAAATACTCCTTCATGTTCATGACAGATGTTATGTCATGTTTATGATGGTGTAATGTCAGTCTTACGCACACCCCGCCAAATACAGTGTTACCTTTTTTTCTTTTTTTTTGGTCAATCTTGACAACACAGCGGAACAGTAACACATAGAGTCTCTGGGAACTCAGAGTTCAGCTCATTATCAGCTCCTTATCTCCTGTTTATCTGTGAATCAGGTTCAGGTTCAACTCAGTCTACTTTATGGCTTTCATGTTAATGATGTTCCCACTCGACTCTCTAATGAAGGGATTTTCATAAGCTAGATAATGAACAAAAAAAAAAAACTGCCATATTTAGTAAGATTTTCAACTTTAATTTTCTCTTTTTTAAAACACTGAATTGTTGTGTTATATTTATTTCACTACTTACTGAAAATTTTGTCTGGATAATTTGTGTCTCTAAATGTCTACCTTTTAATATGATTTCTGTATAAGCTTGGATTTATCCCATGATGCATTAACCGTCCTGACCGAGATTTTCGATAACAGTGTCATGTAGATGCATTAAAATCTGATAAAGATAACGACAATGGAAAGCATCACAGTGCACTGCGCTAAAGTTTGACAAATGTTAGCAGTTATGTGCTGCAAGGTAAATTCCTGTTGTAATTTGGGATATTGACGCTCACACTCCAAGTTATTACTCATTTCGTCATCAGTATATTTTACTATAGATTCAGTTCAAGGCCCCTCTATGCTCAAATTCCTTCCTGAATATGCCTAATTTATAAGAATGTCTGTTTGGATATTACAAATCCTTTTTAGTATTCAGGTAAGAGCTCAGAGTCCCACCTGTCCCAGAGTGTAGGCCGTGTAGTCGGCCTGCAGAACCGAGCCTCCTCTTCCTCCGGTTCCTCTGGTGTACCGGACGTAGCTGTCCTTATCCACCGGCTTGGCCAGAGTCACCTCGATAGGAGAGCCGTCCACCACCTGCAGGCGGAGAGAGGAGAGAGGAGTTTACCTCTCAATGATCATTCTGCATGCATCGCCTAAAAACAAAATCAATCTCGGTTGTATTTTTTTTTGGAATGCTGTACTTTTGCGGTTATTGCTAGGGAAATTATTTTCCCGCATCAGCTCATTGCCATCAAGATTCCCAGAGTTTTATGCAGCTGTTTTGATGGTAGCTATGGAAACGGCCTGCTGCGTGCCCAGTGAGGCAACAGTTGTGTGCTTGTTTCTTTTCTTTTACCAAACGGTGAGAAATTTGTCCGCCACCAAAAGAAATTTTAAAACAAAAAATGTGTTTAGATTTAATAGTTTGAATTTTTAACCATTTCTTCTTCTTCTTCTATTTTTTTCTTGTGTACTCTCTGTGGGGTTTTGTGTGTTCGCTGCCTAGTATTTATTTTGCAGAACATGTTCCTTTTCCCTTAGAGGTTTTGGAGTATACATATAAGGACCTTGGTCTCCAACCTTCAGCTCGCTTCTGCTGACATGTGCTCCAATCATGCGCTGCTTTTTTTGTCTAAAATTAAACCTGATGGGTTTTTTTCTGATTTCAAACAGCAGAAAAATGAGGGCAGAGCTGACCTTCCCATTGAGCGCGTTCATGGCGTTGATGGCGTCCTCTCGCTGACTAAAATGCACGAAGGCGTAGTCTCTGATCTTCTTCACTCGCTCCACTGCACCTGCAGCGCAACAATATCATTATTGGCTTCTCATTGTAACACTTTTCACTTTTGTGGAGCTCCACCCATTCGACATACAGTATTTATAATGCAAAGAAACCCACATATCACAAAACACAAAAAAGAAATATCTTCAATAATCATATGAGTTTATGGTAATAATGACTAATAACCTTAATTAATTGCTTATTTTCTAAATACAAAACATGTTAATGCTTTTATAAAGTTTTAAGGTTTTGGTTTGAAATTTTAAATATATTTTTTGGCTGATCTTTACGCCTTTTTAGACTTTGAAAGTTTATTTTCACTCTCTTCTACTAAAACTATTAGTCCTGAATGAGCCAATCAAATTTGAATATATTTTGTTACCAGGCTTTTGTTTTGTTTGGAGTTTTCCAGCTTTTTGTCAGCTTTTGGATTGAATAAAAAAAAAAAAATGCTTTCACCAATTTTATTTGCCAGAAAAGTTTTGCAGACTAACCTGACTGTGTGTTAGAAGCTTTAAACAAACAGATGAGGCTTTAAGAGGATCTTGTCAGCAGCATTTAAGGACAATCTGAAAGCAGAGAGGCCGGTCGTACCTGGTTTCAGGCTGTTAAACTCCCTCTCGATGGTTTCTTCAGTGGTCTGCAACATCAGGTTCCTCACATACAGAATCTTTACGTTTGCCATGGTATCCTCATCAACCTCCACCTCAGGTTCCGCCCAGTCCACCGCGATGGGATGACCCCACAACTGGATCCGACCTGAATGTTTGATAACGGATGTAGTTCAGATTAAGTTTAGAGCTGGATGTGGACCACGATCGTCAAAATAGATGTCTTTGTGATTTTACAGAAAAACACTGGAAACGGTGATGGTTCTGCTGGTAAAACCCCATCTTCAATATCTGCTCTCTTATCATGAAAATCCATCAGCAGTAAAATTGGCTTTGACTGGCTGACACTTGGACAGCTGAAGACTTTGACTGTTTTTATGATGTTCTCTTGATGATATTAAGGTTTGTTATCAGCTTTGCAAGGTGCATGTGTTCACTTCCCCAGTGTGAGATCAACCTGCATATTTTCAGCATCTTGAAACAGAACACGCGCCAATCGATTTGAAACACCTCTAGTAATTTTGAGACAAAACTGGCCCAAGAAATCGTGTGGATCTCCAGAGTTTTTGGTCTCTACCTGGCAGGAGTTTGCGTCTGGCCATGGCAGCTGCCCGGTGGCTCTCGTATTCGACGAAGGCGAAGCCTCTGTTCTTGGATTTGTCTGCAGCACTGGGGTACACGATGACGTCCACAACGCCGTCTGTGACCTTTCGCATCTCCGCTAGGATCTCGTCGTGCTTCTTGGTTTTAGGAATGCCCCCGACAAACAGACGGCAGTTGTCCACGCTGGCACAGACACCGAGGAGGCGACCGTTCCTGGGAGATGGAGAGAAGAACATCGTAGGAAGGTCAGTTTAAACCAGTATTCTGATCTACGCAGATGACACCACTCTGTACTTGAGAAACAAAGCAGCAGTCTATAGAAGAAGGTGATTAAGGTCTTGGACTTTTCATGAAACAGATTTTTTTTTTTCCCAGTGTTGGTGAAACTGTTTTATGATCAACTGAGGAACTAACGGTGATGTGAATTGGTCCGGTCACATAAAATGTGAAGTGTTTGTTCAATTGATAGTATAGTTACTCTGGTTGGTGACATGTAAATTGATAATAGTCAGGTTTAGATGGATGGTTGGCTCAGATTTATTAGGGCTAGGGTTATGTGCTTGCAATAAGGTAGTTTTAAATGAAGATGGGTGTTTAAAACAGATAATTGCAAAAGCTGTCGTTGCAGGTGAAGAACCGCTCTGACCTGATCTCGTAGTTGTTAAGCTGCTTCATGGCTGTTCTGGCTTCCTGTTTGTTGGTGAAGGTGACAAAGGCGTAACCTCTGTTGTTCCCATTGAAGTCCATCATCATCCTCACCTCATAGATCTTACCAAACTGATGACAGGGGCAGAGAATGCCAGGACATTTAAAAAAGAAGTGATATCAAGGGACATTTTCCTCAAATTATTCCACAATGACTCACCTTCTCACACAACGGAACCAGTTCATCCTCAAACAGATCTCTCGGGAGTTTCCCCACAAAGATCTCACTACCTCTCTCAGGCGGTGGTCCGTCCCAGTCAGGCGGTGGGCCACCATACCGCCGCTGACCATTCTCCTGAAGAACAGAACCCCAAAATGAGGAGCGGCAGCCTGGGGAGAACTCCCCTCGGCACTCTGGTTCCTAAAAATATTCCTTACCTGTCTCAGCTGGTATCCGGTCCGTTGGGTGAGCGCCCGAAGTGCGGCCTCTTTCTGCGTCCCCGCCAGCCCGTCTCCACTTCCCTTCTGATTGGATTCCATTGGGTGTGATTAACAGCAGGTTGTGAATCAGGGAAATTAGGGGTGCTCACTGCAGAAACAGACATAAAGCAGGTTTCAGTTCTGATGTTCTGGTTGTCAGAGAGAGTTTGGGTGGGCTTTTGTAAGTCACAGAACCACATTCAGGCTGTCTATGATGATGGTTGTGAAGGGTAATCTTTATCAGTTTCATTAAAACTCTTTAAACCACATTAAAAGCTTTTCTTACGTTTATTTGCTGTATCCTGTCTTACCCTCACAAACTATTGAATGACTTACATATTTTCTTTGTACCGATGTGTTCAGATTTGAGAAATCTAACTTTTATAAACCCATTTAGATTCAAGACATTAAAGCTTTATTTTCTTCTCCAGACAGTCTGTTCCCCATAAAGGTGAACTGAACAGAAACATCTTTCCAAACATCCTAATTGCTCTAGAGCCTGCAGATTTCTGCAACTTTAGAAGGAATGTATTCCTGACCAAAAAAAGTAGCATTTGCAGCCACAGTTAAATGAGTTCATACAGAAACGCTTTCTGTGGACTCTGAAACACTTTGTCACCAAATAGTTTGTGTCATATAAAAACATAAAACTAATTAATCTACAGAGTTTTCCCAGATTCAATGGGAAATAAATACAGAGATATTAAACAGAAAGTAAACCGTTCTAATTGTAGAAAAATATATATATTTCAAAAGCCGCACTAAACCAAACAACCATGGCTTTATTAAAAGTGGACATTTATGTGAAACTAATGAATAGAGGATTCTGGAGCTGGTCAAGGACAGCAGCTTTGGAGGAGACTAGATACTTCACAGGAACACAATGGCCGCTGTAAGAAACGGTGGTGGCAGCATTATGCTGTGGGATGAGTTTTTGTCCAGTGGACATGAGGTTGTTGTCAAGTCGAATCAGTTCCAAAACCAAGGAAAGTTTTGACAAGACTTCAAGATATCTGCTAGAAAGCTGAAAGCTTAATTATTTAGTCCCATTGTTAGTCCCAGAATATATTCAAATTAGGAACAGAACGACTTGACATGAGGGAAAAATGTATGTTTTGAAATGACTGAGCCAAAGTCCAGTCCTAAATGTGACTTTAATAAAAAAAATAGAGAGCAATTTGTCCCCACAATGTGACATATTGATTCCTATCAAAGACCGCTGAACGCTGAAATTTAATAAATCATTATATCCACTGTTTGCCCTCTCTCTTCTTTTCCCTGTCCCAGTCATATTTGGTGTAACCGCCTGCCAGCCCTCTGTTGAATCAACTCGTGTCCCTGCTGAGACATCATGTACTCACAGATCTGCACCTCCTCGCCTTGTTTTTCCCAATCTGAGCGGCAGATATGAGCGGCGGGGAGGTCAAGGTCTGCTGGCTGATCATTAACAGAGACCGCGGACAGCCTGACAGTCCGTCTCACCGTCCCACAGGGTGGAAGCCTGCTGCGGCCAAAATCAGGTCGAGCTTTCGCTGAATTTATTCAGCAAATAGCATCTCAAACAAGTCGTAATGCCTCCCATCCCCCTGCCATAAAAACCCTCGACTCGTATAACCAGAACCGAAACACTCCAGGTCACATTATGCAGACCTGGGATGCTGTGATGCTTTTATTACGCTTGTGTAATAAAAGCATCATGTTTGTTTGAGTTTTTGTTTTTTTTATTTGTTTCATTTTGGCACATCTTCAGGAACTTTTAAATCAATCAGCAGGGGACGAAACTATCTTTTGTAAAAATGGTCAAATGTGTTCCAGACTTTGAAGAAATTCTTGTATCCTTATCAGAAAACCGATTTTAATGATTTCATGAAATCATTCCAGTCGTTCTCTGTAAAACAGAGATCAAATGACTCTGAATGTGTCCAGTGAGCTCTAAGAATCAGTTTTATGCTTTTGCTCCCGAATACCAAATGAATCTGTTCACACTTTCCTGGCTGGTAATTTAGCTCAAGGAAAACTTCTGTGTGAATTTTGAAGGTTTTCTTCAAAATTCACGCAGGTCATAATTGAATGTTTTTCCTCAAACATTCAAACATTAGCTGCCCCTGCTGGTAGGGCTCCAAACAATTCGGCTAAACTCGGGAATCAGATTGTCTTCAAACTGCTGACATCATTTCCAAGAAAAAGGATGAACAAAAAGCTTTCCATCCGAGTCAGATAAATCAATCGGAATGCTCTCCGGATGTCAGAAATCCAGGTTGTAATCATAGACCGACACCGTCCCAACATGGCCGCCATTAGCGAGGAGCTTTTATCTCAGTCGAACTAATCTGTTCAACATTTATCAATAATCATCTTCTGGACAAACTGACTAAAAGACAAAACTAATAAAAATAATTGGGCCACGTTTCACGTCTTCATTCAGTTTTACGTAATCAGATATTGGAGCTCAGTTCATGAACAACTGATCTTTGATCAATCACTCTATCGGTCAGTCAGCTTCAACTTTTGACCTTCCGACAGCAGCTGTGATGATCCTCCTGCATTGGCTCGTCAGACAATTAAAGCTGCAGAAACTAACGCTAATCTAGACTTCTGGTTTCGGCAGAAATGGGGGGTGCTGCTAATTTATTTCCATATGGAACGACTTCCTCATTAAAAACAGTTTCAGCTCTGCATCTGTGTTCATTATCCTGATCTGTGAAATGAAATCCTCGGTCGTCCTGCGGATACATCATGGTGGTTATGAATATTTATTGTTCAGGATCCATCTCCTCCATAAAGAAACATATCTATCACATATCTATCACAAGACCCATAACGTGTCCTCCAGTATTCAGGCAAAGGAACGCCCTGTTCAAGTTGCAATGAGGCAAAGTGACTGTTGAAGAACAGGATACCAGAAGATGTAAAGAGATTTAAAAAAGTCTAGAATGTTTTCATTCTTGAATCCAATTTAATTTTAAATTAGCGCAGGAAGCTCACTTTTACACACACTAAAATGTATAAATTAAATTAAATTCTGACATAAGATAATCTCATTTTAATTAAAGAGGAAATGCTAATCTCATCGCTTGTAATGGGATGATTGCAATATGAAAAGTTTCTATAAGAATGTTTTAATAAATCAAGCCAACAGGAAAACTGAGACGTGCTGATTAAATTCCTCCTGGTTTTCTAGGAAAAAAGTCAAAAATACTCAAGTGCCTGCATATAAAACTTTACTATTTTATGAGGAGAAATCAATTGCGGAGCAGTTCATTCAGTTGGAGCTGCATTTTGTTGGTAACGGTGACTGTCATCTCATCCGCGGCCAGCAGAGGGCAGTAATTTTCCGGAACAATACTGATTGGTTTAATCAGTATTAAATTAACTTTAACATATTTAGGGCTGAAATAGATTTATATTTTAATAATACACTAATAAGGACAGCAAATGAACCACAGGCACATGTTTTTCTTTAGGTAAAATATATATAAAAAAATAAATTCTAAAAAAAAAAAGTAATTTACTAATTGAAAACTTTTTATAATAAACAATTTTAAAAATAATAAAATACTTGCAAAAATATTTGTATTTTTTTTTACATTTAATTTTTTTTCCCAAAACAATCTGACAAAATGTCATGCAGTTTAAATTTAGATTTTAATTGAAATATTTTTTGTCTTCCTATGAAATATCCTCAGATGTCTCCTGCTGTGAGTCAGAGCCTCATAAATGAACTGGGCCGATTAACTGCACATGCTCAGTGATGATGTGTCTCTGTGTGGGAAAAGGATTTAAATAATGTACCTCCACATAGCACTCCAGCAAGAAAAATGATTGAATTAAAAGTTTCATTAATTTGATGTTAAAATTGCATCAGATTTGTCATCTGAATGATCTCATGTATAATGCAGGACGATAGCTCAGGAGCTGCTGCAGATCCTGCTGCTGATTGATGGTCCGACTGAGTTTGATCAGGACTTTCAGGATCCAATACAAAACTGTTCTTTTCTCAAAATATTTTAGGTAAATTAAATGAGGTTTAACGTTAAGTGTCAACACAACTTCCCTCCTCTGGAATCTCACAGGGAGTGTGTGGAAGTAAAGCTTTATGTAAATTACAGGGGTAAAAAAATGAGCATGATAATGGGATTCATCTTTTGTTGGATTTGTCTGGATTACCTCTGATTGCACAGCTTAACCACTAACCAGGGCTCCCAGTTTTACACCCCAGTAAGGACATTTAACTCCGTAAACGTCAACAGAAACACTTTCACTGGCAGAAGGAGCTCCAGCAGCTGCTGGACGACGCTCGCTCGCTGCAAACCCGGCCTGTTTGCTCAGTTTGCAGCCTTCAGCCTCAACGCACAGAAGAGAAGAAGAGAGGGCGAGCGACACTTACTTCACATCTGCTCTCTCTCTCCCAGGTTTGATGCTTTCAGACCAATTTTATGGAGTAAAAAATCTTAAAAACTCACCTGAGCAATTTCAGAGATCACCTCCCTCCGATCAGAGCTGTGTCATTCTGAATGAGAGTGTGTCGTCAGAGCCCCCTGCGTGAGATTGCGTGTGCGCGCACGCGTGTGTGTGTGTGTGTAGGTGTAGGTGTGTGTGTGTGATCACATCATATCAAACTCCAAAGGTTCACTGTCCTGGTGTTAGCTTTACAAGCTGCAGGTCGTTAATATTTAACCTGCTGCTATCTGTGGACACTGAGGCAGTCCTGTGTGTTTGTGTGTGTGTGTGTGTGTGTAGATGTGTGCGCATGTGTGTGTGAGCATCAAGAGGCCTTTGACCGACAGGATCTGGATCAGAGGCCTCTCCAGCTGCTTACAGATGTTGTGAGGATTGTTGCTAGATTTCTGAAAATCTTTCTGATCAAAAGTATTGATAGGACTATTAATATTGCTTTCATAATGGAGTCAAGTCAACCTTTGGTGTTATATCATGTCAGAGTAACACAATGTGGGACAAATAATGTCCTTTTTACACATATGAACAGATGTTAGATTATAATCACCACTGCTCCCAACAAACTCAACGAATGTTTTCATCCTGGCTAGTATTTGCACAGTTTTCCCTCATTTTAAATAACATTTCTGCTGTTGTTTGCACAGGTTTTATTTTCCCGCATATTCTAAATCGTTTGCTCTCTTTCAATGCACAAATGCAAATGAATATCCTACTCAGTTGCACATTCCTTAGATCAGAGTACCCTGTTTCTGATAACTGCGCAGTATTTTTATGTTAAGATCTTGTTCTTACTGTACAGTATATTAGTCTTTATTTTGTTTGTCATATATTTTTAATACTTTATCTTTGTGTGAACCGACGTGCCTGCTGTTATACCTGAATTTCCCCACTATGAGACAATAAAGGATATTTCTCTTTTATTCTGTGTCCAATGAAGCAGCCTACTGTGAAACACAATGCCAAAACCAAAAGGAGAAATAGAAAAACTCAATAAAAAAAAGAAAGTATGAATTACATTTAAAATTAATTACATTTCTGACAAACACGGGATTTTTGGAGTAGAAAACAGGTTCAGTTTGAAACAGTTTCGTTCCAGAGGAAATGAGTATCATGTTCATGTGAGAAACGATAACAAAAAAAGTTATAGTTTTTGTCTCCTGGTTGTAATGACAGTAGGTCTCCAGAAGAGGGCGCACAGTGATTACAAAGTCATTCATTTGTCTCCAGCAGAAGAGGCATAGTTTGACCATCCCTCTGTCCGTGATGCCTCTATTCTGATCAGAACATTACGAAATATGATCCCTAGCAGCGAAAATAACGACAACAAAATCATCAAAAATAATAATGTTCTGTGTGAGACCGTGGAATATTTCCTCACTGTGTAAACGTCTGTTCTCGGATGAATTCGCGGTCATTTCCTCAGATGTCTCTGCAGCAGCAGCTGCAGGAGCATGCTGACAGTTTGAACACAGCAGGACAAACACTGATGCCAACACAGAAGGTTTATATAAATAGAGAGAAGGACCAGGCTCACGGTGCTGGTCTAAACTGGACACATTCTTATCTGCGGTCCAACACATCTATTTTCTCCCCGAACGCTGTTCAGAGCAGGTTTACGGGATGAATCGGACTTTAAACTGTTTATTATTATTATTATTATTATTATTATTATTATTATTATTATTATTATTATTATTATTATACCTCCTGTTTTTATTTCACATGAAAAAAGACAGTCAAATTTAAACACTTTAGAACAGATATATTTTTCACTTTTGCTGAAGTCTCATGAGTTTGAAAAGGATGTAGTTCATTGGTTTTATCCGTTTTAAATTTGCACATGAATGCATCACTTGAAACTTAAAAAAAAAAAAAAAGAAGAAAGTTATCGTCTCATCTGTTTTCCAGAACTTTCTTAGAGCAGTTCACTGTAACACCCATCCTTTCTGGCCACGGCTCATTCCTGGTAAATAAACAAATAAAAAATTTTGGTTGGTTTAAGATGAACATTTAGGCAGTTTTTTTTCTTCATCTGTTCATAGAAAACTTTAACTGAAGCTGCACAGGTGAGGATCAGTAGGAGGACAGGTGACGAAAAGGAGCGGAGGCAGCCCAACTTTCCTCCTCCTCCTCCTCTCTCTCTCTCTCTCTCCCTCTCTCTCTCTCTTTCATTCCGCCTCGACCTCCACTTAAGCTCCAACTGTTTCGGATTAAACTGTTCACACTGGAAGTGGATCGGCGCTCCGGACTCCTCCGGACTCGCGGCTCTGCAGCACCTGTTTCCCGGCGTTTGTCCTCTCATCTCCCTAAACATCCAACTTGAGGCTCTTGGCTTCCTGTCTCTCGTTTCCAGGTGGGACTAGAACGCATCTTTTTCTCTTTTTCCCCCTTTTTGTGTGTGTGTGTGTCTCGGGAGTAAAGTGTGCGCTGCTGGATTCCTGCACCTCCGTTTTCACACTTTAATCAAACTGGCGGACGTTTGGTTCCTTATTCTCTGCGTAAAATATTCCAGCGGACATAAACCCGGAGCGGCTCTCCTGTGGGATTATCCTTCTCTCAGACTGACTGTAAACTTTTTTGTGTGTGTGTGTTAGTTGTACTCCGGATTACTCCTCACGTCTTCAGTTTTCTTCTTCATTTCATATATCGAGGGGAATCCTGCATCCAAATTTCTTTTTTTTTTTTTTTTTTAATGTTTTTTGAATCATGCGGTTTGTTTTGATTGGATTTAATCAACGGGATGGGAAACGTGACACGCAGGAGTATCTATTATTATTTAATCTGTTCCAGACTTTCTCCTAAATCACTGTTCATCACCTGATTCCACCAAACCTCAAATTACCACAACATAAATTAATAATTCCCCCCGGATATCAGATAGTGGAACCAATCCACAAACATTCTCAGATAAGTAAGTAAATAAATAAATAAATCCAATAGAAACTTTGGGAACTGCCTGAAGGCACC